ATTAACGAAAAACAAACAAACAATTCTCTCACTAGACTGGCGCACCTGGAGCAGTTCACAGTTGTAGCTTCGAGCCTGGCTTTTATCACTCAGGACGGGTCATGGCCTAAAGACGCCCAGTATTGGAGACGTACTCTTCGTCCTCAGATCCAACCACCTAATAGATTGGCTGCCACTGAATGCGTGAATGAACTCAGGTATACGGTAAGCTGAATAGCTGAATCATGTTGGATCGGTGGCACAAACGATGTGCATAAATTTTACAATGTTGGTCCTATTGCTTTGCTTTGTCCCAAGCCACATTGTAGACCCATTCACAATGGGCCTCGCTCTTGCGGACACTTTGAAAATTGCACCCAACCTGCTCCTAGCTCCTGGATGGAGTTGAAAACAACCTCTGGCTGACTGAGGCTGTATAGTAAAACTCCGCCGGCCCCAGCTGATGGTGGGGGAGCTCGCCAAATATTATTTTTTTATGTACTGTGTTTATTTTCAAAGTGAAGATGATCAACGTGCCGTGCAGAGGAAACGTTTCGAGCAAAAAACATATTTACAATTTGTACCCTGCCCGGGCAAACTACGAGTGAGCACCACGAAGCGCACGAGAAAAGTCGACGCCAAAAGGCGGTGTCTAAATAGTGCATTCTGGATCTGCAGCTGCCTTTTGCCTGAGAGGTCTTCAGTCTCTGGTCCACTCCTAGCGTGCTCTGTGGTCCTTCACACCAGCACAACTTTCTTTGTTCAAGTTGAAGGAGCTGGCTTTGGCCTGGGTGGATCCCCCACTAAATGTCCGGCTGGAGTCTGGCTGAGATGTGACCGGGGCTGGGTTGAGCAGATTTTTTGCCTCCGAAGTTGTGCTTTTCCGGTGCCGAACACGCACGGGAAAAAGGACTAAAAAAGCACGTGAAAGCGCACGAGATTTTGCAGGCCAGATTGGTGTACCGAAGATTGTCCGCAGAAACGGCGGGCCAAAACCCCCAGCGGTGCCCTGGCTCCCGCGGTGGCTCCGGCGTAGCTCCGGGGGAGGGGGGGTCACACTCTCCCTGACTGGCAGGTTCTTCGACCTTGGGGGTGGGGTGGGCAAAGAAAGCTATGTGAATGAGATGAGATGCATGAGATGAGATGACAGGGTCTTCAACCTTCAATCTTCAAATCGCAATTGAAGATCGCATCGTGTTGAAGTGGCCTGATTTTGGTTTGGGATTTCTGGTGCTCTTTCTCTTAGGAAGTTTAGTAGCAAATTGATTTTTAGAGTGTTACTGTCTGGGGGGGGGAGGGTCCAATTTACAGTACTAATACCCTATGTTAAAGGACACATGGAAGTTGACAACCTCCTTAAAACCGTCTTTCCAGGGACCATTTCCACTTCTATGATTATCATTGTTGAAGAGAGGGCCTGTAAGTCAAATTCAAACAGGCCATGAAGGAAATGCACCCTTTGCATTGTGCGCGAGCTGTGCACTGGTCACCGGTGAAGCTCTTGTCGCGAGACAACCAGCTTTCTGCCATCCTCCCTGTGCGGGGCACCCTGCCTGCGCCAAGCGCTTTTCCAAACGCCGACATTCCCACCTTGCCATGTCCAAATCCTCGTCGTCGACCTGTGGCGTATGCTCATGTTGGTGAAGGGGCGACAAGCAAAGTACACCTGCAATTGACTTAACGTTGACCCTTTCTGCCAAAGAATACAGGTCCCCAACACGAAGGAAATAACAGGCACAATTCTGTAGCATCGCCTCATTTGATGCTGCAAGAAAGGATGAGGCCTGACAAGCAAAGCACTGTACTTCAGCAAAGTGAGTCATGAGTCATGAGTATATTGCCTCAAAGGGCAACCAAAGGCACCCAAGGACAGTGCCAAGTACGAAAATAGCAGTAGATGCTCCACATGTGAGGCCATCATTCATCTCAGGAACCGCGGATGGACCCAACGACAGCACCCCTGACAACCTCCAATGCTGCAAGGGCCGGACTTTGTACCTGGCAGTTGCGGAAGGCATATTCTTCCTTTCACGTCTTTTTGGACAGTCAGAACGTGTCATGTTCAAGTTGGAAAACAAAGGGGAAAAACAACCATGCGGATGATTCAGATTGATTTGGACACTCATCGGATTTGATTCAGATTGATGTTCAGTGGCTTTGGATGCGAATCGTCGTGACATTGCCCCGGTTCTTGCGCTGAGCTGCACTGGCAAGACTTTCGAAAGGATCAACTACCCCTCCGAGACTCCAAGATGGTATGATACAAATACACGATATTGGGGCCAAACCTTCCGCGTCATCAATCCCAGCCACAATTCAAGGGGGTCTGTAGTCCGGATCGTCTTGATGCTTCATATGTTGCGTTGTGGGGAGTAAAGAGTATTCCCAACTCACAGACGCTTCAGTGACCAAACATGATTGCTTCCTCTCGATAGAACTCATGACACATGTCCACGACCTATTGCTTCAAACACCACAACGTGACTGTAATTGAAACAGTTATGATGCATTCATGCCCAATTCCACGTGGTCTCTAGTTACATGGTTGCACACAAAACCTACAAGCGCAAGTGATCGCAGTTGCGCCGGTGCCTGGGCCCCTTCCATGTCTGCCTTGGACAAAAATAATGCAGGGAAGAATTGAACATACTTCAACTAGGTTTCAACCGCGGTTTCAACCAGGCTATCGTAAACACCAACATGGCATTGAGTTTCCCATTGTTTTCCTCAGGGAGTGTCACCACATCGTATATATATATTCTTTTTACGGGTTCTTGCATATACTTGCTACGTATATCCTCCCCAACTGTCTGCCCTAATAGACTTCAGCAAACCCAAATCTGCCACACGCCCACAGACCATCGTCCGGTGTATGCCACATTCGTCTGGCAGGATCAAACAGTCTCCGTCAGTTGCCTTCTCAGCATGTTCGGTCGCAATTGCGGAGATGATCATGTCAACTCAAAATTACCCCTACACACACAGTTAAAAAAACAACATCAAACGACCCACTACACACACATATATATAGATATACACACATAATAAGATCATCATGGGATCCATGATGATCCACGAAGCAAGAGGAAAACCATTGGAAACCACTCAACAAATGGACACCTGGCCATGCACCTGGCCCACCTGTGACATGTCTTGATTGCTAAGGTGGCTGCGAGCGCCGACTGCAGCTGTGAGCGTCGAGCAGTCAGTCGACCAAACTCCTCCAGCACCGCCACCTTGCTGTGATTCTCGGCCTGCCCAAACTGCTCGGTCGACTGTATACAAGCCACCTGAGATGAAGAAATCGAGGTGTTTGTCGGTGTGCCAGGTCCAGAATTATTCATATTCATCATCATCATCATCATCATCGTTGTCATTGTCATCTTCAAACTGTGGTTGTTCAAATTTTATGGTGACCCCGAGAAATGCTTCTTTCTATACATTTCCCGCCTCAAGCTGTGCGATCTGTTTTTCAATGAAGCTCGGCTCTCGCTCGCGTACATCGCGTTCGAGAAGCCTCACCTGGAATTGAAGCTGTCTTTGAAGCGACCGTTGGGTTCGCGCTTGCCAGAACACAAAATAGCACATATCTTCAGCGCACGGTTGCGGTTCAACTCAAGTTTGCAAGTGAGATAGGCATCAAACACAGCTCTAGACTCTAGTCATGATAGTTCTGGTTTTGCAACACCCTTTTCAGAGCTGTTGCACCTTGTTGAACTTCGTGTCAAACATCTTGTGGTTTGTGTGGCACTAGGCTGTGGCAAAGGTCTAAATTTGCTCCTATTAAACAAATCAAACAAGGTAGGTACGATAAACAGTAAACATACCCTTTGTAGACACTTGCAGAACAACCATATCTAAACCTATCATAAACCAGCTTTATATACAGCCAGCTGACGAGAACCGACCAACCCACTTTGTAGAGGACTTCGATGATTGTTGGAGGTGGGGTGTATCATCCTCCAAATGCTTGCAAATGCTTGAATTCAGCATAATTCCACCCCAAGGTCATTCTGGAGCTTGTGGAGCTTTCTCAAATTACAAAACAAATATAAACAAGTGAATTAAACCGTATGGCTGTCTAGCCCCACCCACGCAACCATACCCTGCACCGAGAAGACCCTGCCTGGAAGCGCAGGTTCTCCCGCTCGGCCAGTTGTGTCTCAAGCTGGCGCTTCAGCGCTTCCCCGTGCAGCGCTAAGACCTGTTAAGTGCGGTTGTACAAGAGCCACGGCAGCGTCGTATGGAAACAAACAGGATTTCATGCGGGGGTCGTGATGTGAGGGGCTGTGCCCAAGGACATATCAGCTTGGAACCACATGTGCGAGTCACATGCGGTCACCACCTTGCCAACACTTGGAGCATCAAGCGCGCCTTCAGCATTTGCTTTGGGCTGTCAGGTGTTTGAACCTGCCCGAGCGAATACTGGTATATCGAACTTTTGGAACCCAACATGTGTAGTCAAGTCAGGCATTGTTTCGAGCCACGTCACCGTATCAAAATCGCTTTAGGTCATTTTTATAGACACGCGACAAAAACAATTTCATTAGACAAATTATTGAGTGACAAAGCACATGTCACCATGGCTTTTTGAACAACATACAATACGTATCAAAATTTTGAGAGGTGGAACACTTTTCGAGGTAAATAATCGACTGCTGGGACTATGTCATCTGCTGAAACCCACGTCCCCCTTTTGATGCTCGTCTCACGTCAGGTCTTTTGAGCTGGCGGCGCCTGCACAGTAGGATTGGGCGGTGCAGCAAAAACAAGAAACCCTCTCCCAAGAGTTCTTTGATAACTAAACTTCTTGCAACACAAACTGCGTGTGTTCACAAACCTTTGTCTTCCTCCACGTTTCACCAAGCCTTGCTTGACAACACCCGATCTTTAGACAGAGTGCAGATTGGATGACAACTACTTGATGACAACTACCAGACTACTCTTCACAAATCGACTATCCCAGTAAGGGCAAGAGTAGTTCTTGTGAACCTTTGCTTGTTGAACCAAGGCGCCGAGAACTATCCCGTCAATGCCGCCCGGCCTCAGCGTCAAGAACACACACTTATAGTATAGATATGCGTACTGAACTGACACGCCAGCCTAAGTGAAAAACCTAAGAAGTCAAGGTGAGTAAGGGAAAGCTCCACCAATCTCCAAAGCTGAAAGTTCTGAAGTCACGATCTCCAAAGCTCAACGACGGTGAGGTCATCACTAGACAAGTACTGCAAAACACAGAATTGGAACAGCTTGTCCACTACGTAGGTTTTCTGCCAAGCAGGTACGTCAATCCGGCGTCCCGGATTGATTTCACAGATGCAACACTGGCGTCTTCGTTGGTGCCAGTCCAGTGTGCATCCCTGGCACATGCTAAAAACGATTCAAAAAGAATCCCTGTGACTACAAGGGGCACACACACACGCCTCCTGAAGGGGAGGCGCTCTTACCTAGTAGCGTCCTCGCACCTAGTAGTAAGGCCAGGAGCCCCTAGTAGCGTCCCACTCTAAGGTCCCGACAGGAGGGAGGGGTAGGGAGAGAAGAGAAGAAATAAAAAGAAGAAAGGAAAGGAAAGGAAAAGAAGGAGGACACACCAAGAGAAAAGCATCCAGGGACACCCAAGCAAGAAGGAGGGAAAGGAAAGGAAGGAGAAAAGAGAGAGAGAGAGAGAGAGAAAGAAAGAAAGAAAGAAAGAAAGAAAGAAAGAAAAACAAAGAAAGAAAGAAAGAAAGAAAGAAAAACAAAGAAAGAAAGAAAGAAAGAAAGACAGAAAGAAAGACAGAAAGAAAGAAAGAAAGACAGAAAGAAAGACAGAAAGAAAGAAAGAAAGAAAAGAGAGAGAGAGAGAGAGAGAGAGAGAGAAAAGAGAGGAAGAGGACAGGTGTTCCCAGCTACGAACAAGCGTCGAGGGACACATGAGGGAGAAAGGGGTTTACATTCAGGAACACCCCAACAAGCGAAAGGGGAAGAGAGGGGGTGGGGGGAGGAAGGGGACTAAGCTCTCGACAGGATCCAATGAACCTTGAACAAGCTGTGGTCGCTGCGACCACGTACGGCTTGCCGGAGGGCTGCCACCTTTGACCGCTGCGGTCACGTACAGGCATGAGCCAGCTTGGAATTCAATACTTCAGCAATTCAGCAAGTCTTGGCAAATAACTTTGGCATAAGCCTCCTGTTGTCCGCTTCGGACACCTACGTTCCCGGGCAGGGGGAAACAATGGACAAACCCCCGTTCGACGAGTCCACGGGAGGCACTCTTCGGGCTCATCCCGGGCTGGCATGAAGCCAGACACACTTATAGATATGCATACTGAACTGACAGCGGTGCCACACGCCAGTAAGGAGAAAGCTCCACCAATCTCCAAAGCTGAAAGTTCTGAAGTCACGATCTCCAAAGCTCAACGACGGTGAGGTCAGCACTAGACAATTACTGCAAAACACAGAATTGGAACAGCTTGTCCATGACGTAGGTTTTCTGCCAAGCAGGTACGTCAATCCGGCGTCCCGGATTTATTTCACAGATGCAACACTGGCGTCTTCGTTGGTGCCAGTCCAGTGTGCATCCCTGGCACCCCCTGCTAAAAACAATTCAAAAAGAAACCCTGGGACTACAAGGGGCACACACACACACACCATCGCTGATGATAAAACTGAAACTGACCATCGAAAGAGTGTAGAAGTCTTCGCATGTTTAAGTCAATGCTCCACACTTGTCTGCAACTCCAAGCCTGTACCCAAGGCATCCACGACTGTTTTGGCTCATTAGTGATCACTGCCATTAGACCGATCATCTACTATACTATGCTGATTTCCAGCAAGTTGCGCTCTGATGCTTCCATCTGCGCAGCACTGACTGCATCCCGCACATCTGCAGCAACCTAGCCGGACCAATCAATGGTTTTTTGAATCTGGTGGCTCCTCAGATAAATACAGTAATACGTTGTACATCTTTTCTGCCTATACTATCTATATGCAATACCTCATCGCTCCAATTGCCACGTCAAAAACATGTCTTGCTTGCTAGCCACCGGCGGGCCCCCTTCCATATTTCACAAGGATTTACAAGGGTATATACAAATATATGTATATATATATATATGAAATATACTATATATACATATATCGATTGCGATTTGGTGCACAGGGGCTCACGATATCAGAATCCTTGTTGGCCCACCGTGTTTTTGCTCTTGACCAACTAGCCGGTTGCCTCCGCATCCCGCAGGAATTGTGACATCTGCTGCAAGGCGGGCTGTACCTTGAGGCGGGTCATCTCAACCACACGACATCCGCCACCAGGCCAGTGTTATTATTTGTTATTATCAGCCGGCTCTTGTGCCGCGCTTCTTGGATCATTTGCAAGGGTGGGACTCGCTTTGTCGGTACGATGCTAGATCACCAGTGGACTTGGGGGCAAAGTGTTTGATGCAAGCCCTGTGTACCACCACCACCACCACCACCATTACAAAAACATCAGTTTGCCAGCTCCCTCTCAAACGCCTCCCAACAAAGCACGCACCGTGAAGACTCCTCGTGACAGAATGCAATTATTTAGGTACAAGCAACGGCAAAGGAAACGGTATAGTAAACTTCCACAGGAAATGTGCAAAGTCTTTGTTGGCCTGACTGCACCCCCCTTGACCTGAAAAAATGAGTGTAACGGACCTGAGTGGGCGGAGACGCATGCTCGGGAGATTCAATGATTATATACATATATAAGTGTGCACCCAGAGCCTGCCAGGCCTAAACACAACTAGCAGGTACGTTTTCACAGGATACGTGCAGCGTCTTGGTTGTCACCGCTCTGCATTCCTGTCCCCAGGAGCTGCCAGGTTGTTGTTCAAGCTTTTAGTGAGAGAGCTCTATTTAAGGTCTTTGGTTTGTAAAGGTGAAAAGGATATCTCGCAGAAATCTTCTTGATTCTTCTTGTACGTCCATGAAAGGGGTCTTTGCACGCACCAAAACCTGTTTGCGAACCGGCAACGAACCGGCATCCGCCTCGGCGCAGTAGTTCTCGCAAAGGGCCAGTAGCGACGCCCAAAAGGCAGAATATTCGGTCAGACGTTGATCAAAACGCTCCTCGACCAGCAGGATGGGTGCAAACAATGAGCAAATGGAGTAGGACAACTGTTTTAGTCGGTATTGCATACTTTTTGTATACCAAAAAAGGTATATCATCTGTGATTATCTGTGTATGTATGCCAGGACATTACGTAGATGTGTATATACACATGTCTTCTAGTCTAAAAAAATCGACCCTAGACACACGTTGCTCACAAATGTTTGTCCCATTGCCTCTTGAATATTGAGGCACCTTCATTAATCGAGCAACCTTCATTATATAATCTCGCATATCCAAAATCAGTGTACCATATTGCAAAACACATCGCTTGCAAAAAACTCCCTTCCCACAAGTCTTCTACTGTTTATATAAGCTTCTTTGGTTTTGAACTGTGCGTCGCCTAATCCTGTCCCAAATGATTTCTATTGACGTGTTTGCTCTCACCTCTCAATACAAATTGCCCTCTACTGCTATCAGGGCCTTCATGACCATTTCCACTTTTAAGAGGGTCATAAGTTTTGATCCATACTTGATCCTTAAACACGTATTTTCCTTGCGAAGAACTGTTGTACAGTAACCATTTCATCTTTCAACATTTTTCCTTCTCATGTGAGGGTGCGGGCCTCACCTTCTATCATGATAGTTTCCTTTAGTTTCCTTTTTGCATCTTAAGAAAGTGTTTTCCTTTGCCAAAAACACATTCCCATTGGCAACACCTTCTGGTATAATTACAGCACATGTTCATGAGGAATCTCGGAATCTCCATGGAAAAATGGGACAACGGAAAAATAATCATGTCAGATGTAATTCCAACAAAGATGTCTAAGTCTAAGCATACTCTCATATCTGATAAATAGTTTCCTTTTGATAGTGCGTTGAAAACCGTGCATATACAGGGTGTCCTATCGTTTTTGACGCATGGTATGTTCATTGAAGTCCTTTAACCTCAAACACATCATGTCCTTTACAAATTAATATTCACTTTAGAGTATTCATTTATTCATGTTTTTTGCTTGGACAGTGCGTTTTTTTGGTCAATTCTTCCACCCTCTCATTTTGCGTGCAACATATTTCATTGCAAGTAAAAAAGACCAACATCCGGAATGCAAAAATGTAGCATGCTTTGAGTGGTTGAACCTACAAGTATAAAGCTAAAAGGGTGTGTTTACCATATTTTCGATTCTGAGCAATTTGCGAAGTAAATGCCGTTGAGAGTGGCCTATTTTGGTACATATAGGTTTTGAATTGATTCCACTTTGTGAGGCCCAATTCAGAGCCGCGTCCTTCAAGCGCTGGCTCTTTGAGGCATAGCGCAATAAGGATAAGGTGTGGTCCTCGCTTCAGAGACCGTTTGCTCAAAAAGACACAGCAAATTCAACTGCATTGCTCTACTGTTTGGACCCATACTTCTTTCTCGATGCTGGCCACTGGTGCAGAATGAAATTGAGATGGTTCCAAATAAACAAGTTAGAAAGTCAGGGTAAACCAGTAAGACGCGATTGCTCTTCCTGCTGATTTGCCCCGCCTTTGAGCGGGACAGCTCCTTGACAGTGCCTTCAATGTGACCTGAGGGTGACCGACGTCTTAGAGTCAGTGGCCCAAGACACCGCAAAGCCTATCTGCCATCGGTGCAAACAAATATTCAAGACAACATCAAACGCCCCACTCAGGCCCCAATCCTCCTTTGTAAACAGCGCTTACTCATTCCAAGACGTCAAAGGATTGTCAAAGGCACACAATTGGATTTCTCACATTGGTTCAAGATTGTTCTTTCAAAGGCACCCCAGAATGATGTACATTGCCGCAGAATGTCACTCACCTGGTGCAGCTCGTACCTCAGCTCAGTTCAGCATGCAACTCCAACCAGCAAGAGGAAACACATGCATGACACTGCATGCCCGGAAAGACTGCTAACAGGATGTTTAGGTGCTCGCGTGGCTTGCATATGTGGCATAACCACAGCTTGCCTATACACCTTTGTATTTTTTGTCCCAGGTACAATGCCCGCAACAAAGGATGCATTTGCACGGTGCCCGCATTTGCCCGACCAGGGAAGGACCACTTGGCTGCACCACCCAAAATACCTCAATTATCCAAATCCTCCCGTACACTCTCTCTTTCTCTATATACGTTACCAAACAGCAAACATATACGCATATCAAATACTCGTGTATACATACCAATGGGCAAAGGCATGTCCACGATTTGCAGCAGGATCTTGGCGATTAACAAAACAGGGACGGTCCATAGGTTTGTCAACATTGGTTCTATCAAGAGTGCGTCACATATTTGTACTAGTTCAACAATACTTCAACGAACACATAATGAACAATTCTGTTAAAGGAAGAGCCTCCTCGGCGATCCGAGGATATCATTGAGCCATACGCAATCACACACGTACCCGGCATACCCATTCCTCAGAAAAGTGCGCCTTAGAAAAAGAACGGAAACAATACCAGGTCTTGAGGGTCTTTGCGACTTGCTCTGATCGCTGATATTGGAGTTTGCCTATGTAGGTTTGACCAGTGCAATGAAGAACCAAGGATTGTCATTCCTGCATTTGTCTCACATTACGACGCCTTCGTGCTATGTTGTGCCACACAGGGAGCCCAAATAAGTATATATATATATATATCTATATATATATATGCACCTGAGTCCGCTTCCGCATTTCACAAGCACAACGGCATATCCTTTGACAGTTCATATATATATATATATGAATATATACATATTACATATTCCTTTGCACTTTACACGGCTTGGTTGAGGTCGGGGAGTCACGTCGTGTCTTGCAAGTCTCCCACCGCCTGCCGGCAGCAGCGCCAGCTGCCCCGTCTGTGGCGTGATGGAAGGCCCGGAGGGCGTGGGCTCCGAGGGCGTCTCAGGCGTCAGTGAAGTGGGCGCTCCGGAGGAGGGCGACAGGTCCCGCAGCTTCACCTCTCCACAGAGCAGTCCATAGCGGTCTGGTCTGGGCTCATCTTTGGGAAGGGTAAAGATGGTAGGGTAGATTAGGGGCTCCTGACTCCTGGCATCGCTATTAGGAGCAAGAAGCTACTAGGGGCTCCTGGC